CTCCTGCCTGCCACATACTCGTGAAATGCAGCAACTCCATGAATTTGCTCTCAAAATCTGCCACGGTCATATCCCCCTGAGTCAAACGGGATAACTCGAGCTCCTTCCCTGTCCGTGCTGCAGAGGAAATGTACTGCCCATCAAAGAAATATATGAAGTCCTCCCATGTGAGGGTCATCCTCTGCTCTGGAGGGAACTGAAGTCGGCACCATCTCCCCGCATCACCCTTCAGACTGTAGGATGCCAACCTCTGCTTCTGAACTGAGTCCACACTGAGTATGTCGAGAATGTTGCTCACATCCTCCTTCCACTTATGGGCTGCCAGAGGGTCTGGTGATCCCTGAAACTCTGGTGCTCTCATCTTCTGGTACCTCTCAACCATACGGAGCCAAGCCTCCTGCTCGGTGGCTCTGTCTGGGACTGCTAGAGGAATAGCTGCAGGCGTGACCTCTGGGGGTCTTTCTCTGACAGGAACGGCAGGTATCGTTTTGTATAGGTAACCGAGCTGTTTTTCTTCTGCACTTGTAAAGGTGAAAGAAGAGGACAGCTCTCCTTTGCCGGCCACTGCAGAACAGAATGTTACCTCTTTGTGGATATTTGAGGGGGAGATGGGGGAGATGGACTGAGCTGGCTGCTGCTCTGATGGAGTCTGCTGTGACTCTGCCTGGGTAGCTCTCCTGGTACGAGGTCTACCACGTCCTGCCATCTCTCTGATCATAAGAAAATAAAAGTTTATGAGTCAAAATAAACTTCTATAAATAGCGTATCACAATACAATCTTCACAACATATAGTATTCACACAAAATACTTTAAATTTGCAAAATAGTTATCGTAAAAAAAAAATTCCTCAAATTTTGAGGTATACGCATAAGTCGTCCTCACTCATACTAGGAAATCTCTACGGACTCTATACATGAATCCTAGGAAACTCTATCCTAGCTCCACGACTCCACACAGGATGATCCTAAGGATACTGGAACTAGAGCTCTAATACCAACTGTGACGCCCCTGGGTTCACACAAGGCTGCAGTCCGAGGTGAAACCAAGGATGTCAAACCTGCCATGCACTACACCGTGCAATAACATGTTTCACCATCATAATTTTTATCACTCTAGTGGGTCAATAATAGGTGTAGGTACAAAGGAAAGTAAAAGATACTACAAGAGATAACTGATGAAACGATAGAGATCAAATAGTATTCCATCATCCAACATACAGGAATATAAAGTCAATGGCTGAAAGGAACAAACTGGAGTTCTTAATATGTAAACAGAAATAAGCAAAAAAGAAAATACAACATGTCTCCGAACATATATATATTGTATTATGTGACGTCCCACATAATTACCATGTCGTATTTGACATGAGTGTCATATCATACTCTTAATATATGTGGTGTCATATTCTTCATAAGTGTCATGTCATAACTCATGTGAAATGTCGCATGCATGGTTAATAAAGATGTCCAGTACATGAATTTGATATAGAGATTTCCCAACACATGAGATAAATGGATAATTGCCCATCACGAGGACTGAAATGGATTATAGTCCAACACGAGGACTTCTATGGATTATAGTCCAACACAATGACTGTGCAACTGAGCAAGTATTAGTGATATATAAGGTATGGTTTACTTATGCAAAACTCACACTCAACTCGTCGTGTGATTCTAGGCAAGTATTTCAGGCCATCTATCATGCATAGATGCTTAGTACGACTGAAGATCAAAGTTAGGTGATCGAGGCAAGCGCTCTAACGAGTGTACTATACAGCAGAAACAAATAGGGCAGGAAAAACTGTGCGGCGGTCGACTTCAGAACCCACTCCGGTCAACCGCTCGCAGGCCTGAGAACTACTAGGCTCAGAAACTGAGCGACGGTCGACCGCAGAGGTCATGCCGGTCGACCGCCCAAAGCGCAGAAACGATTCTGCAGGCAGGAACGCGCGACGGTCGACCGCTGAGTCCTATGCGGTCGACCGCTGGGCGGACAGAACCTCATTCTATGTTCTGTCAGCTACCGAACTCATACAAAAACTTGGGGATTTCTATACCCATTATACTATAACCTTTTAATAGAGAACTATGGCAATAAACAACAAGTTTAAATGGTTAAAACCTCATTATCAAAAATCCCAAACCTTAAACAACATGATTTTAAAAGTTCTTAAATAGTAAAAATGAGTTTGACTCTCCTAAAAACATTTCAGATCAAAATCTCATTTATTAAACATCATTAGTGAACCTTTTAAGACTGAAATATATGATTCTTACATCCCATGCCATAACATCTACTTATCTACACAAAAATACGATTTTGGGCTTAATAAAAACCGAATAAAACTCAAATCCAAGCATAAAACTGAAAAGGGATAAAGTTGGGCGAGATGTCACTCGCCTATGATGAAAACGAAGCCCTAGATCTGAAAGGAGATGACCCCCCACGCTGAATCCACCAAGAGTTCGCTGGAAATCCCTTCAAGGCTTCTCCCAAATCACCAAGAAGTGAGAACTAGGGTTTGAGGGGGAGAGAGGGGGCTAGGGTTCTGATTTCAGATGAGAAAATAGGGCTCTTTAGGGTATGATAGTATATATACTAACCCCACAACCCGACCCGAACCCGACCCGAAACCCATTAAGACCCAACACAGAAAAACTCTCTGCCTGCTGTGCGGTCGACCGCCGCGCCTTGCGCGGTCGACCGCACAGCAGGAGAAAAGTCTCCTGTGTGCCCGACTGCTGTACGGTCGACCGTCGCGCACATCGCGGTCGACCGCACGGCAGAACAACTGCCTGCTATGCTGCTGATCAATCCCCTTGATTTCTCAAACATAGAAATTCTTGCTAGGCTCCCAAACACTATTTATCACATTTATTTAACATATATATATATGGTTATTCATCTCAAAAGAAATGTTTACCACTAATAACTCAATATATTCATTAATAAATTTACGGGGTTCTACAATTCTCGTCTAAGGACAACATGCACATCAAGTCTCTGGCGACCGTTGGGGTTGTTGAAAGTTATGAGGACAGTTATGAGGAGTAATTGAGGGAATTTTTAGCGCATAAGTGGTTCTTGAATGTTGAAGAATAAAAACACTTAAAATATTTTTCGACTGTGTCTTCAAACCTGAAATCACTATGCTTATATCACACAAAGCCCAATGTCATAAATAGTTCATTAATTACTTACATTTCAGTAATAACTTTTTGATTTTTTTTCTAGAAGTGGAACACTTCACATTAATAACAGCTTGCATGTGAAACTCCGTACAACCAATATTTCGATTGTGCTCCAACATGCACTTCAAATCATCTTCATTGTCAACTGAAAAACTCAGGTTGGGGTGCCTCTCAGATTTATATATCAATGATAAAGCTTCTTGAGGTACTTTTAGTCTTTCAGACACATCAAATTTCAGTTCAAAAAAGCTTGTTGTCGAACTTAGCTTCAAGAATATGACCTTCTCGCCTAAAGACATCATGCAAATCAAGTCATTGGCGGCCATTGGGGGTGGTTGAAAGTTATGAGGAGTAATTGAGGAGATTTAAAGTGCATAAGGGGTTGTTGAAAGTTGAAGAAAAAAACCCTAATTTCATAAATGATTGAGTGAGAGATAAAACTAGACATTATATACCCCATGATGATGAAGCGGACATGTAATGGAGGGAACCCACACTTTTTTTTCCCTGCTTTTCGTTGTCATTTCACCTTAAGTGCAATGGGAGAGATCATCGGATTGATGAGTCAACGAGCCGGTTTCCTGGGAGAGAGGAGGGCATTTTCGGTAGGTTTGTCAAAATACACACAGTATATGTATAAATGTAGGCTTTTGAGGCTAGGCCATACTTAAAACACTCTTTTGGGGCTAAAGAGTAACGGAAATAATTGGTGGGGCTGGGCCACCTCAGGTTTTTCATTTTGAGGCCTTGACACATTTTTTCCCTTAAATCAAATATAACGAGTGTTTTTTTTTAAGTTTTAAAGTCTACTAGCTCTGGAAAACAACCTGTCTTCTAGAATGTTCTTAAATTTTTGGTAGTACCCAAAACTACTGTCTGCTCAGAAACGTAATATGTGCATGGTTTGGCAACTTTTTATATCTGCTGAATTTTGGTAACAAAATTTAACAGTACTCAAAATCACTGACAAAAAGGGTATTGGCATATTCGATATGTAAAAGATGTCTTCTCCAAATACAAAAACAAAGTAGGAAATGCCCAATCTGAAGATTTTGTTTTCATTGTTCTTTTCTTGTCTATTATGTTTCCAAGCTTAAGTAATTAGTGGAAGAAATTTTTCCTCGTCAATTTCTTCGGACAATGATATAAACAAAATCCTCTAAATACATGAAAGATTAACATGGTTGAGGTTTTAACAATAAACACCATATCAAGTAAGATGGCAAAGTATGTGCCAGTTTTGGAGAAAATGTGTTCTTAGCGAGTAAGCTTCACATCAAGTTTCTTTGTATGGTGGGACCTCAAACCATAGGAGAAACAGACTGTGGAACAAGTTCATTGTAGCCTTCTTGTGGAATCATGATAGATATCCTAATCTAAGTATCTCTTTGTCAATTATTGGAGATGCACATCACCCAGAGAGAGATGGTAAAGAATATGCCAGACTGTGGAACAAGTTCATTGTTGCGAGCTTTTACGACAACTTCTTTGTATGTCAGATCTCAAAAACATGAGAAGAGAGTAATATTTGACGTAAGCTTCCTATATAATCGTGATAAATATCTTAAATCTTAACTATTTTTTCAGCAATTCAAACAACTTTTATGAGTAACAACAAATGTTGTTCTCGACTCACTATTCCTAAAATTGAATTGCTTTCTCCATACGAAAACATAATCATACAGTAAGTTAAATGAAATATATCAGTCCCTTCTTGAAAGAACACGCACACAATACATACATGTGTGTGTATATTATAAATTAAAAAAGTAACAGTGATTTGGTATATTAACATGTACAGCTCTTAATGACAATAAATTGGTATAAATAAAGATAATAACATAACAACATCCGAGAAAACCCTCGAAACAGAATCCGCTATCCCTTTGATAATACTCAAGATAAAGTCCACAATCTCTTTTGAATCGTATAACACAAGAATTTATAGGATAATAAAAACAACGATTTCAAACACATGATGTTGATGCTGCATACCACAAAGGCCTATAAGATAAAAATAGATTTTCTTCTGCGCGTAAATGATGAAGAATGCCTCAAGCTCTTCCATTCCATTCTTCATAGAATTCTGCCACAAAATCCTGCATGAACCTGTGCCTTTTCTCAGCCCTTCTTCTACCAGCCTGAATTTTTTTTCCGCAGGAATTTTAGATACATTGGTTAGTGAGTAAAATGGTTTACAAGACTTTCAACATTGATTACGATTGGCTTTCAAAATCTAAAAAACGGATTGCCAGTGCACCTAGATGCATATACACAGATTATATTCTTCACATTAGCATTCGCAACATTCAACTTATCATAATTCATTTAACACAAGAGCCCAAACACAGGTTGTGGCTTTCGTACAGTTTGACTTGATATTTCTTAAGTGCATTCATAGCTTTCGTTTATCTTATTTCTACAGCTACTTATACAATGGAATACCCTTCACAAACTTCTACACATTAAACTGATGTAGTACCTTATCATCTATCATCCTCAAGTGTTCCCACAAGAAGATAGGGCTAAGCTTAAGTCATAAGGCTCCAAGGAAATATATAAGCATTATGATTGTCAAAATATCATCAACAAACAGCTCCAATTCAGTCTACTATAATTTATTTTGATTTACTTGTTCATATCTTTTCTTTTAATCTCTTCACTTAAAAGTCTCAATTAATAGGAGGTTCCTTCAAAAACAAGAAGTATTATGTATTAAGACAGCTGATTGAGAGATATAAAGACAAGTGAGAGGATATATATGGTTTCTATTTATCTACAAAAAGCTTACAATAGAGTGCCAAGAGAGATTATGCAGTGTATCGTATAAAGAAACAGTAGTAGGTACATTGATGTGATTAAAGATATGATTCATTTGAATGAATAATAGAAAACAGGTTGAGAACATATTGAGAAGCAAAATCGTTTTCTTCTACCATATTATTACATCAAAGGTCAGTTTTATACCCTTATCTTTCTCCATTAATTATGAACCAACTTACGAGACGATTTCACTATGAAATGCAATGATGAAAGTTATTTACTAATGATATTTTTTGTTCATGGGATTAGGGAAAGGCCAATTTCTAAAATAGAAAAGTGGAGAGAAGTTTTTGGATCTAAAAGGTTTAGAATAGAACAAAAGTATAACACGTGGAATGTCGTGAAATACATCAAATTAATCACTTCCATTATTAAGAATCAATCATTCATCAAGATGGTAAGGTTAAGGATAATATGGTTTATCAAATGAAATCAGAATTTTAAAACGAAGGAGCGCTATCTGGAGTCTTACGTGATCGTAGATTATATATGAAACAGACGGAAAATTCTATAGAACAGCAACATGAACAGTGCTCTATGTGTTAGAATGTTAGATAATGAAGAAACATGTAGAAAAATGAGTAGCAAAAATGAGAAGGTTATGAACTTATGATGGACTTAAGACTAAATGGTATACACAAAGAGATAAGACAAAAATTGAGTGCATAAATAGCACGTTAGAGGTTGCTCCTTTAGAAAATAAAATGAGCAAGGATCGACTGAGATGGTTGGACAAGTGCCACAGAAACTACTAAGAAGCGAGAATATTATAGTTAAAAGGGTTAGGCTGGTCGAGAACAACTTAAAAGAATATGATAATAGTTAACGGGGTAGAGAGTCCAATAGAAGAACAAGATTACTGTAGTCATCTCAAAAAACTCAGGATAAATGGGTTTTTTTTTTGTTCTTCGTTATAAAAGATATCAAGAACTTTGTATTAGGAACATATATAACGAGACTAATATTATGTGGAATAGCATGTCTTCTTATATTAGGAATGTGGCTAAAGATATACTAGAAGAATCTAAAGGTTATAGATTAGACGGTAAGGATAGTTGGTGGTGGAATGAGAGTGTGCAAAAGGTTATTAGAGAAAAGAAAACTTTATATAAAGAGTGGCAAAAGTGTAGGAGTAGGGAAAACTTAAAAAAATATAAAATAGTAAGGACAAAAGCAAAAAGATCGGTTAGTGAGAATAAATACAAAACTTATGAAAAATTTTATAAGAAGTTAGAATCTAAGGAGGGAGAGAAAGATATATATATATATATATATATATATAATATATATATAGTATATATATATATATATATATATAAGTTTGTTAAGATTAGAGAAAGGAAGAGTTAAGATTTGGGTAATATTAGGTGTATTAAAAGTGAGGATCAAAGAATTCTAGTGACCGACACGGAAATAAAAGAGAGGTGGAGGGGTTAGTTTTATCAATTGTTTAATGATAATCAAACAAGTGAGCAAAATGAAGATTTTGACCATATAGTGAATGATAGGAACTATAAATATTGTCATAAAATTAGAATTAGTGAGGTTAAAGATGCTCTAAAGAACATGAAAAGTGGACGAGACGTAAGACCAGACGATATCCTTATTGAAGTTTGGAAATGTCTTGAAGATATAGGCTTCGGATGGTTAACTAAACTATTTAATAAGATTATAGAGACGAAAAGAATGTTGGATGAGTGGAGGATTAGTATTTTGATACCAATATATAATAATAAAGGGGATATACAAAGTTATTCAAATTATCGTAAAACTCATAAGTCATACTATAAAATTTTGGGAGGGTAATTGAGCAAAGACTAAGAAAAGAGAATGTATATCTAAAAATTAAAATTTTTTTTTATGTCTAAGATGTCAACTATGGAACCTATACATATTTTGAGATGGTTGATGGAGAGATATAGAGAGGAGAAAGGATCTACATATGATTTTTATCGATATAGAAAAAGCTTATGATAGAGTATTTAGAGAGGTAAGGTGGTGGGTGTTAGAAAAGAAACATGTATCTAGTATATATATTGATGTGATTAAAGACATGTATGATAGAGTAACAACTAGAATAAAAACTAATAAAGGCGACACTAAACCATTCCCTATTACCATAGGTTTACACCAAGGGTCAGCTTTAAGTCCTTATCTTTTTTACATTAGTTATGGACCAACTTACTAAGCACATTCAGGATGAAATACAATGGTGTATGTTATTTGCTCATGATATAGTATTAGTTGATGAAACTAGAACAGACATTATTTCTAAAGTAGAAAGATGGAGACAAGCTCTTGAATCTAAAGGTTTTAGAATTAGTAGAATAAAAACAGAATACATGGAATGCACTTTTAGTAAAAGTAGAAAAAAGAGTCTATGGTACATATTGATAGCCAAGAAATACCTAAAACTAATTATTTTTACTATTTCGGATCTATCATTAGGCATGATGGTGAGATAGAGGATGATGTTGTGTATTGAATCAAATTGGGATGGTTGAAATGGAGGAGTGATTCGAGAGTCTTACGTGATCATAAAATACTAATGAAACTAAAAGAAAAATTCTATAGAGCGGTTATAAGACCAACTATGCTTTATGGGTTAGAATATTGGGCAATTAAAAAATAACATGTTCAAAAAATGAGTGTAGCAGAAATGAGAATGTTGCGATGGTTTTGTGGGTATACATTAAAAGATAGGATAAGAAATGAATGCATCCGTAGTAAATTAGAGGTTGTGCATATTGAGGATAAAATGAGAATAAATCAAGATGGTTTGGTTATGTACAAAGGAGACCCCTTAGTGCACCAATTAAGAAAAATAATAATATTAGAGTTAATGGGGCTAGGTGATCTAGATGTCGACCTAGAATGATTTGGTTAAAAGCAATTAATAAGGATATAATTAAGACTAATGTAACAGAGGAAATAACCCGCAACAAAATAGAATGAAAAAATAGGATTCATGGAGCCGACCCCAAACATTTAGGATAAAGGCTTGGTTGTTGTTGTTGTATCAAGAACCTTGTATAAGAACTTGTAAGCTATTGGATTATTGACTAACTATGTATATGAAACTACTTTAATTCTTAAAACTCCCTCTTACGCTGGACTTTCAGCCATATGTAACGACAATTTAAACTTCACTTGGCAAGGTAAACTTCACTTGGCAAGGTACAATACAAAGTTAAATAAACATATTCTCTAAATTTGATAATGATGAGATTTGAAATCAACTTCTTGAAACCTGGAGCACGCTAATATTATGTAAAATATGTTAACAAAGCATTAGATATTCGTTATGGAAAAATCACACATTCAAAAATAATTTAATTCTTAATAGAACCAACAAACAAATAGTAGTATTATATCATCTATAAAATAGTGTAGCCTATCACATTTCTAATTAACGACAATAAAGTAAAAATAATCTTCGTGGAGGAAAGCCACTTGGATTTTGGTCACTACGCTACGTTACCTAGGAGATTGGTCAATGTACTCAACTAGTAGAGATTAGAATATTACTTTCACAGTTGCCAACTCTATGGAAAAAAATTTCTCTCTACCAAGGACTTCCATTCTCACCACAATAAGATGGAATGTTGTTTTTATGTCTGTGTACACATACGCTTGTGATTGTCATGTTTGCATGCATTTATTTTTGTTTGCATGTTTGTGCATGTGTGTGAATTCAAGACAATCCTGAATCGTCGATCTTAGGCTATCAGGTTTTATTTCTCTCTTTTTTGTTTTCTGAAATATTTGATGCAATCTTTGCTCTTGGTAGGATTTGATGTTAGGATCTTCAAGAGCTTTTAGATTTTATCTTGTTAGAAATTTTATCTTCTTTCCTTAAAATTGAAGGTTATGATCTTTAATATTCAATTTTATCTTGTTTCTTTGAGAGTTATCTTTTATTTTAATTAAATAAAATTGTAACCTTTATTGAGAAGACAGCCGATGATGAATAAAATTTGGGCTTTGAAATTCTCTATGGCATTTGAAGTGTTTTGGGTTTGGCATATGAATTGTCATAAGAGTGTGAAGCCCTTAAATGTGAAGCCCCTTAAGTTTAAAGCCTATTATCTATCTAAACCTCCGTTCCTCTTAATTATCCTTATCAATCAACCACAATTATTTACTTCTCACATAATCACAACATCCAACTCAAGCCAAAATACCCAAAAAAACACTAAAACCCCAAAATTAGTCTATAGGCTACTGTTCACTGGTGAACGATAACACTGCTATAGTTCACTGGTGAACAGTAGTTTTCTTATTGTTCATTTATTCTCTCCACAACATCTAACGTTTAAAAAGCTGGCGTCTAGGCGTAAGCGGTACCTAGGCCGGGTGTCTAGGCGTTGGAAGCACATATAGGAGTGTAGGCTGCTTACGCGGACTGTACAGTTTACGTCTTGGTAGTGATTTCTTCTGCTGCAACCTCTATATTTTCTAACCTCTTCCGAACTCCTCCGGCCACCTACACTAACTATAAACACCTTCTCCGACTTAAAAAACAACTCCACCACCACTAAAACAAAGAAAAAAATCTGCTAAGACACCTAGGTATTAAGCGCTAGCCCAAAGTCTCACTGTACCTAGCGCTTTTTATAACACTGACATTTATTATTAATTATTGTAACTAAAAAATAGAAGAAGAAAATTGCCTAGACTCTAGGTGTTGGGTTCAACACCTAAGCCATCTAGCACTTTCAATAACCTTAGCAACATCTGATCTCTCGCCTCTTCATTGACTAGATCTCACCAATGCCCAAACTTCGACAAGCTCCGATGAGTTGCCACTATCCAATTAAGTATCCCCATCGTCAGATCTCTTTTGATCTACCTTCGATGAATCACGACATTACACCACCAAGTCATTGACAATTTGAAGTTCAATCAGGTCTCCATCATATTCAAACATGACTTTGGAAAGTTGTAGAATAATTAAGAAGCTACATGCTAGTACTTTCAGATCCCAATTAGATCAAATAGCCACCAAAGTTTAAATAATCAACATCATCGTACTTTTCGATCGGATTTGGATTAGCGTTGAAGGCATCACATTCAAAAGCCTTCTCCATTTGGAGAGGAGGCTTAGCCTTAGTCCACATCAGCTGAGCAATAACTTTTTTTTTAATTTTTTAGCATTAAATTTTGTCTGGTCGACTTTGAGATGAGAGGTTAAAATCAAAAAGCACTTTAAATAGATTAATGAGGTTAAAGGAAGAGAGGGTTTTATATAATAAGCTTCACATTAAACGGGCTTCACTCCATTGGCAGTTCACATGCCAAACACAAGCACTCCATATGCTAGAGAGAATTTCAAAACTCAAATTTTATTCATTATCGTCTATGTTCTCAATGAGGCATACAACTTTATATAAAGAAAATAAAATATTACTCCTAGAGAAATAAAATTAAATCAAACCTCAAAAATCCTAAGGTTTAATTCCAAGGAAACAAGATAAAAACTCTTAAAAAATAAAATTTAAAAGATCCTGAGTATCCTAACATCAAATCTTAAACATCAAATCTTAAGGGAATTCTGCCTATATTAAAGATTACATTAAATATTTCTAACTAAGAAAGATCTTAAAAAATCCTAATAGCTTGATTGACGATCTATGATCATCCTGCATCAAATCTCCCCTTGTCAAAGAAAACTCAGCCGCAAGTTTGATAGTGGGAGAATGTACAATGTAATTTGATCGGTGGAAAGTATTTCTTCATGGAACTCGAATAACAAACTCAATAATCAAATGTACCTAAACCTGCATATCCATCCGGCATTCAGGTTCTTGGTTTGACTTGATTTAGGGTTTTGGGCTTAATTTATGCTTGGCTTTTGGATAACATTTGGCTTGGTATTTTAGTTGAGCATAAGTTCTAGCTCAACTTTTGGCTTGAGCTCAAGTCGTGTCTCTCACTCAAGGTCGAGCTCCAAGTCAATCTTCGGCTCCATTTTTCCTTATGGCCTAACTGGAGATTCCAATATCATTGCTTGTTTAGAACTGACTTCCAATTTTGGCTCTTCTTTTTGATGGCTCTCGCTCAGTGTAGATTTCTCAAGAAGAGCTTGTAGCAAGTGGAAACTGATTTTCCAAATATGTGGATCCATCCATGAACTCGCTCAGATACCCGTTAATGTGGACCGAGGTAGGGGCTTTGATCCGAAAGTATAAAGCTCTCCAATGTGTTTTCTTTGACTATCTAAATCTAATCAAAACTATGGTGCTCTCGGAATTGCAAACTTGGCGGGTAACTGAATCTAATCGAGATCTGAATGGAGCAGGTGAACGTTTAAGTCTTTGATAACTTGCCAATGCCATGTTTAGGGGGGAGGGGTTAATTGAACCTCGAACATATTAAGGTCTTCATGGAGCTTCACCAAAGGAGATGAGGACTTGGTGGGGCGATGCCATAACTCATTGGAGATTGATCAGAGGAGATTTGACATTGTAGATAGTCGATGAGATCATGAGAACTCATTGGAGGTCGTTGACAGAGATCGTAGTTGGATTCGACTGAGGACCACGACCTCGCCGTAGAAGAAGGGGTGGCGTTAAGATTTTTGTGGTGATTCATTGTTCGCATAAATAGGAATCACAATTTATTGTTAACATGGACACTTAATTTTTTTCTTTTTTTATTAAGACTAGGTCTTTGTGAGGACTTTGAGATGAAGTGTTAGACTTAAAGGACTTTAAATAGATGGTTAGGATTAAAGAAAGAGGGTTTTAGGATAACAAGCTTCACATAATAGGCTTTTCACCCTATGACACTTCACATGCCAAACACAAGCATTTCACATGCAAGAGAGAATTTCAAAACTTAAATTTTAGTCATCATCACTAGCCTTCTAGATGAGGCTTACAACTTTATTTAATGAAAATTAAAAAAAACAACTCCTAAGGAAAAAAGATAAAATCAAATCTGAAAAATCCTAATGTTCAATTCGAAGAAAACAAGTTAAAATATCTAACAATATAAGATGTAAAAAATCTTGAAGATGCTAACATCAAATCATAAAAATCCTCCCGAAAATAAAGATTGCATCAAATATTTCCAAAAAAAATAAAGATCTCAATAAATCCTAATAGCCTAAGATTGACGATCCACAAATCCAGCATTAGTGATGCATTTTTGTGTATGTTCATGCAAAATGGTGCAACTAATGGACAAGCATGTCTTTTGTGGTCACGGATTGCTGGTTATTACGTGGAAAATGGGTACTTGCTTCTGTAGTATTCAATGTACTTTCCAAGCAAATAAGTATGTTTCATTGTGTGTGTATAAGAGGGGAGGGGTAGAGAGGGAGGGGGGAGAGAACCTCTCAGTGAATATAAGAACAAATTATTAGGTTTAAATCATAACAAATTATTAGGTTTAAATCATAGACATCAAGATGATAATATACAAAGGTGGCTTCACATTTTTCAGCTTCAACCACACAAATGTGAGTACGAGCATCCATTATTAGACACATGCAGGAATCATATAGTGAAAAGAGTTGTGTATGTCTGTACCATAGTTAAATCATCCATCTTGAATAGCTGATCATGTGATCCATAAGGACGCGCAAACTAATTCCATGCATATTCCTTACTAAGGAAAAAAAACAGCATAGCATGATGAGCCATTTATATATAAAATTCAAGTTAGCATTTGTAGTTTGATACCTCTGTTTTCATCAAGTCCTTCAGTTTAAAAAGCTTTTCATGGAAGTGGTTAATTGTGGTCTGCTTCTCATCTTTGTTCATATAACTTTGTCTTGATAAATCCTCACGAGGCAATATCTTAGGATCATGTAGCACTCTGTTTTTACTTCCCCCAAATGTGAAGCAACGAGCAATTCCTAAAAAGGAATATAAATAGACGTTAGTACTTATTTACATTAATAAAAACATTGAGTAAATATCATAGGATTTAATACATAAATCCAAAACTTACAAGCATAATGTAATACTTTTGCACCAATGATGACCATTTTGAACTTAATTGGTCATCGCAAGTCAGTGAATAGTTGAAGGCTCCTTAATTTTTCAATGCTAATTCTCCCACCGTAAGTTAACTAGCTAAGCACTGCTCATCTCTAGAACTTTATACAGTGTAAAGAGCTTTTGTGGATAAAGCTAAAAGTTGAATAAAGCTAAAAGTTATCTCATTTATTTTTAAACCTAACCACTTTTAAAAATCAATATTGTGCCAATAAGCCGAAAATTTTAACCCCCATTTACATTTAACCCCATCTACTTCGAGAATCACTTTAGACCCAAGAAGTTTGGTATACAGTGTCACTCGCTCTATTTTGTTGTAACTTGCTATATTTTTGCCTAAAGTGATTAAGCATGTGGTGTCTTTTTAAACCAAAGGTATATGGTAAAAGTTAGTATATTTTGTCTTCATTTTCTATGTATTTGTTCCAAGTAATTAGGTAAGCGGTGTATTCTTAAACTAAATACTTATACCATATTTTAATTTTTTCACACTAATATCGCGACATCTCTAACTATAGTATAGATGTATTGTTTGCCTACAAATCCATTGGTTTAGACCCAATTATTTTTTTAACCCACCCACTTCCCAAAAGAGTTTTTTTACCCATAAACCTAGATCTTTACCCCAATTAATTTTTTAATCCACTAACTTCAAAAATCACTCTTATACCCAAAATACTCCATCAAATTAATGTTAAAACCCATATTGTATTTCAACACTTTTGGCATATAATGTAGCTTTGCTCATGGTATTCACAACTCCACTACGGTCATCAATTTTCATTTCGTTGTCTAAGTTTGATGGATACACTCTCGATTGATTAAACTAATAAATGTTTCGTATAGAACTACAAATGATAGGATGAAACAATACCCATATCCATATGATATACTACATAATAAAGTTAATGGGAGGCATGTCATGCTTATATACAGTAGAATTCTCATTAACTTTTTGGATATGTTACTTGCAAAATCTAACAGACAGTTTATAAGCTTAGTTGGTAAGAGCGTCAAGTCAATAAATTGAGGGTGGAGCATTGAAATCTGTACGGGCTACATAACTACTAGTCTACTATTGCATAACAACATCCATTGGCCAGTTTGAAACCTGTATAAGGCACAAATTAGTTTCGCATAATAAACCCCTTACATCATTTTTTGCATAATAACTTCTCAGTAAATTTGTGTTTATTTAGTTTATGCCCTTTTTTAGCTTTAGGTTTAGATTCAAGCATAGAATTTCTACTTGTATTTTGAGGTGTTGTTTTGCACATATAATTTATACAAACTTTGGTGCTCTTTCCAAAAATGAAAAGCCCTTCTTCTACTTTATTGCTAGAGCATGAGAGAAAGTCTCCCTTATTATATCTCTCCACTCTCTTCATTAATTTTTTTCACGGTGCGCTTCATTCTTGATTATTTGGTGTGTGGTGAGATTTGTAGGTGAGCTTTCATCTTAGTTCTACTTAAATTTGTGCTAAAGAGTGTTTCTTAAGATTGTTGATCATAGGGTACACTAAAAAAATTGTGGGTTTTGGTTTGTTGCTATAAGTTATAACTTTTTTGTAATAGATCGTCTAATTAATTTAGCAAAAGATGAGAATTTGGCTTGAGTACATTTGTAAAAAATTTTAATGGGTTCATCTCAATTGCCAATGTTGGTAGCTACACTGATGCTCTCCAACATTTTTTATAGTGGGGTCCATAATAGAGACAAAATAATAAATTTCAATTTGTACTTCATGCGTTTATAGAGGTACAGAAGAAGATAGTTTTACTTTTATTTTCATTGACGTTATCACCCTTTACTTCATATTGTGGGTCCTAAAAGCTTGTATGTTCACTGAGATCTAAATGATGGAAAATCTGGTGCAAAAAATATTGTTGAAGAATGGAAAAGGAGACTCTGAATGCTTGTGTTGTCTCGTTTTAGTTATTTAGTTAGAAGAGCATGTCATAAAAGGACAAAGTAAATGATCTCCATATTCTGAGAGATTAGCACAATCATGTGGTTAAGGATTTTAGATACTATGGCAAGTATATAAAGTACAAATTGAAAGTAGACAAACTTGAAGGACGAGAAACATTTGTTCTTCATCCTCCAAGAGCCTACCTAGGATAATTTTTTCATTTTATGAAAAATTCAATATATTCCTCAACTCCTTAGTACATATCATATCACAAACATGACCCTTTAAAGAGACAAATGTAAAGTTTGTAGAGAAAGAAACCTTTTTGTGCATGCATATGAGTAACTAAGGCTAGTGTGTTCCTTAATACACTTATCTAGGGTGTTGCTAACATGGCACACTATAAATCGTTAGCTATTATCTAGATAGGTTGACGATCTAAGTTGTGGGATCTGGATGTGTGCTACATTATTGACACAATAACTAAATGCTAGGAGAAGCACACTAACTCGTGTTCACTCTCTATGTGCATGTGTATTTTCAAATATGTGTATATATACAAATTGGGTTGAACTATAATATCCACATGGTGCAACTAAAGGTAACCCGTGGAACCGACCTACCCTAGTAATAAAAGGGTCGGAACGAGATAAATAAGCTACGATCATACGTGTTAACTCGTGAGAAAGCTCGGGCAGCGGTGGCAGTGACAAGAGGCAGCAGCGACGAGCGAGGAAGGCAGCAACGAGTGATGGTGGCTAGCGGTGACAATGGCAAGATCTTCCAACATCTTTGCTAGACAATTCAATAGATCATATAACTATGAGTTCCTCAAGATTTAACTTTGATACGGATAAGTTTAGGGAGCTCTTAGGCTTGGCCATCATTATGAATGATTGTACCATTCCAATTTGCGAAGTAAGAAGGTATTCGAGCAATTCTCTCGTATCTTTATGAGGATTAGAAACACACAGAAAGAAATATGATTAAAGTTGATGCTCTTAATATCTATGCAAACGAGAAAAATAGACTTAAAAAGAAGCTTTTGAGTCAATTCAGACAGCATTAACGTGATGTCCAATTTGTGGACATTAATAGCCACCAATGTTTTAACTTGATGTCCGATTTGTGGACATTAATAGCCACCAATGTTTTAAAAATAGGCTAATTTTATCAATTTATCATCGAAATATAGGGTTCAGACCGTGCCCGATACAATTTCCACAAAAATTTATCGCATATCATTTTTGGCCCATTTGTCCCAATCATGTCGGTATAAAATCGATAAAGCGGGTGATTTTTGTGCGTTAAAAATCATCCGATTTTCTACAAATTTACATTCTAAGTGAACCGGCTCAGGTTTGGAGACAAAAAACCCTCTTTTTTCCATACCCGATCTGCATCCACTAAACAAAAACAAGACTATCATATCCTATTTCACATCCGCTCATCATGTAACCTTAGTTCTATCCGCCTCCACTGTTCTCTCCCCCAAAACGCTCGCAAATTTCTCACTTGAAGATCTCTGTTGATAACTTCCCTTGAAAATCGTCTCAATATTTCGTAAAATGTGTTTAGACTATATTTTAGGACATTATATTATATATGCTCACCATATGATATGACACCGATTTTTTACTATTTATCCTTGATATAAACCTGATAATCGGGATCTGGTATAAATTTTGGCTATTTGATATATTTTCGATAACTGATATTTAAAACCTTGATAGCCACCGATGGATATATTTGTCTCATGGCTCACTATATTGATCACAGGTAGAAATTACAAAATTAGGTCTTTTAACTTTTTCGAACATAGGATGGAAATGGACTATGATGTGTTTGGTTTTGATTCGTGGGTGGACGAGGAGAGAGCATGGGTCTGTATGCCATTACCGGTGATAAGGGGCACAACTCAAGGAAAAGGCGGGGTTTGAGGCGATGGAAAAAAGAGAGAGGAAGAAAACGAGGAGGTAGCTTCTTAGCTTAGAGTTAGTATCTTTTTTTCCTAGTCTCACATCAATAGAAAATCACATGCAGTGATCAGAATGTCATCAAATCATCAATCTCTTTTCTTCTCAAATTAGAAAGTTACAAGGGTAGTGAAAGAGTTATCTTATATGTTAAGCATGTTACTCAACAACATTGTGCTACGCAAGTTTAACTAAAGATGTTGACTCAAATCGAAACAAATTTGACCTAACAAATAGACTAAATCAACCACCAGAATAAGATGAGTGGGTCAAAACAAATAACTAAACCAGAACTAGATCATCTCCATATTCTTCAAGACCCTCTACGATAAAAGTTACACCATGATCCCCATAAACTGTGCTATAGTTTCATTAATGATTAATGCTTTCATGCACCAATTTTTGGTGCTCATTTTGAGAAACCAAATATCCATAAAAATAAACAATTTGACATATTGATTTAATGGCTTCTAGGCTTTTAAACTGGATGTAAGAGTTAGGGTGCACGGCACAACTCATATGCAACAACATTGTCGTTGTTATGATTATCAAGTTTGTCAAGTCAGGCTATCAGAAAGTTTCATTATTCTAAATGAAAATACTCTAGCAATATTTGGTATGCATGCATGTGAAAGATTCTAAATGAAATATATCAAAAGTTGATGAAAAATGAAATGGGAATTGAAGAGAACTAATTCGTTTCAAGGGAATCCTTGATCAAAAATGCAAAGTGAAAGATCATAATTGCAAAGTGAAAGAAAGAATATTATCAAAGATATAAACATCAAAAAAATATAAATTTATAAAAATATGTGATCATCCATAATAATGAAAATACATCGAAAATACTACATAATTGTTCAAAGTTATGTTACATTGGTGCTTCTATCATGAGGTCATATCTGTACTGACATTTATCGTACCGGATCGAACACCAGCACTGCTTGATCACTCCTTTGAGCATATAGA